ATTTTGTCCAACAGCAATCAAGGAATCGACGCATCGACTTGCCCGCATTGGGGTGCTTGCAAACTTGCTAACTACCCTATCTTTCGGATGTGGAGAGGGGGCGTCCTTGCCCAAACCTGGCAAGGGGGAAAAAAAAAAAAACGGGGCCGCTTCGAGCGAGGTTTTCGTGTGACACGCCTTCGCCGGCCTCAACTCACCTGTCCGTCCAAAGGCGTGCCATGATCTGGACGCATCTGAGCCCGCGACTGAAATCCATGCTGCTGACCTGGCGATTTATTTCGCCTTCGAACTTCACCCCCACCAAGGGACACTCATGGGCCAAGAAGGTGATCTGTAAAACCACCAAAAGGGAAATATAGTCGCAGAGTCGAATTTCTGAATGAGCTGGCAAACCGCGCTCGTGTCGCGTCGCAACCGCACCGATTCCAGCTTTTTTCTTTCAACCTGCGCTCTCCGTATGCAGTCGGCACAAGCTTGAGGTTTGTTACAACCCAAAAGCGGGATTATAGAAGACAGTCCCAATCCAGGCCTGCAGTTGGCGAGGAAAAACAACACATGTTTGGTCTTCTGCTTGTTTTCAGGTCATTTCTATGCTAGAGGTTTGTAACAAACCACACTTGCGCCGGTCAGCGCAACCCATGCCGACCCTCGCACTGCCATCCCCCCCCAACCCCAGCCGCAACGGCGGGGCAGATACCATGCATGTGCTTGCTGTCAGCAACCGGACTCATCCACACCTCCACACTTGGAAAGACATTGAACTTGGCAGAAAACAGCACAACTTGCTGGTGCTCAGTAATGAGGGAACGACCCTTATAAAACATCCCTTGTGGTTTCCTTCAAGGGAATCCCTGGATTCATTCCCTCATTCCCTACCTCTTTCACACATCCGACTATCTTTGCTTCAGCTCAAGAGACCAGGCTGCAAGTAACACGCAAACCACGTCCATGATACCTATCGCGGGATTCAAATCTATCCACTTCACGAAGGGGGCTGCACTGGAACCCACTCCCATGGCTTTCCAGAGTCCTAACGTCCTCAAGTTGGCTAGATCTTCACAGGTCCTTCCTGCAACCTGGAAGTCACAGTGCCGACAGCAAGTTGCTTTGTAGCTTCCGGCACAAGAGCAAGTGCTCCGAAGGGAGCTTCCACCTGCGCGCCGCTGCCCAGTTCAGAAGTTGGGGTGTACCTTGAAGAATCCGAAGGTTTTGGAGTGTCCCATGAGTTCCAACCTAACAACCCGGAACACTTCACTCACAACTCTTGCAGAAAAAGTGTCGGGTTTGACTGCAATTATCCTCCTTTCTGGCTATTTCAGGTGACCCAAACAGTGAGATACCCGCGGAAATCCCAGGAACATCTTCCACTAAAGTCACTAAAGGGTACCCTTGGCAGCAAACCCCCAGTCTTACTGGGCCAACGGCCTTCGCGCGAGTCGCCACTCCGAATTCGCAGTCCTCACTTCTCGCTCGCCTCAACCTTCGCCTGGCTTCAGGTCTCCATGGGAGGGTACAAAGAAGCTGGCGAACAACTCTCACCCAAAATGACGACAACCAAGGAAGATCAAGGAAAACACAAAGACAGACTAAGAACAGCAAAGACCTGGGGATTTGGGGGAATGCTACTTGTGAGACTGTCCCACTCCACTTTTGGCTATGAGAAAAGCTGAGCCACTTCCTCCCCATCTGAGGTTATGCACGCTTGACAACCTGAAAGGTTGTCAAGGACAGAACGGCTGCTCCACAGCCTCCCCGTACGCGAATCTCCACTAGCCTCACCTACAACTGGCCCACACAAACGACCTAACGACATTCGAAGGCCCAGCATACCTCGCTGGACGCTTGGGGTACGCAAGAGCGGTCCTTTGTGCTTCCAGGCCTGAAGCGAACAGTTTTATATGCCATGCTCGAAGCTTTGCCGCACGCAACCCAACTCTTCGTCCCCTTTCCTCGCGGATGCCTTGCATAGGGCTAGGCCGCTCAACTGAGATCTCAATGGCATGTCGAAGCACTCGAAACCAGAAATCTTTCCAGGTTGTGTGAAAGTCTCCCTTGTTGTCGTATCACTTCTTTGCTCGCCCAGAGTGTTTGCACTTGTTGGCCGCCCAGCGAGAGTCTGCAAACAGCGTCTAATGGCTTCCAACCAAAGGGCCAATTAAATATAGAAAACCCAAACAGATTCATTGTCTGACTCCGTTTCGCATTTCGTCTATTGTATATACATGTTTATATACATATATATATATATGTATTATGTATTATATATGTATATCTAGGGGCTGGCGCCCAGTGCCGCCTCCCCCTTGATGCCAAGTATCGCCCAATTTTCTCAAGCAGGCCTCGCTGCTCCTTCATAAATGATTTTAGACAATAATCCCACCTTCTGGCTCCATGCTTGAAATTTCAACATCTACCTCCACGGGCAACTTTCTTCACTAATTTCCATTCCAATGCTGGTGTCGATTTAGGTGTAGGGTACACGTCAAGCCCCAGAGGCTGCCTCGAAGCTCCGAAAAGGTGTAAAGCAGTGCAGGTCCCGATGTCTAACGCAACAATGAGA